TATAGTTTTAGAAAAGAGAGTCGACTGATTTTCGCATTGACTTTCGTCATCTGTTTGCCGCCGCAGCGGCGACCATCGTCCGCAAAGGATTAATAATATTGATATCGATAATATTTGGATAATAATATATAATTTAAGCATTCATTAATATGAAAATAATACTAATGACTTTATTAAATAAAGGTCATCATGTTTTTAGGGCCAAAGTTAGAACTTGTACTTTTTGCAAATTAATACTTATAGATATACAATTACTGAAAAAAATTTAATAAAAAGAAAAGTATTAAATTTCATTTTCGTATGTTTTCGGTCAAAACGTTCATCATGATATTTCAAATTTTCTGTTTTCTTAAATTTAAAATGTCGACTAAATAAGTGTCCACCTAATTTCCGGTTTAGTAATTAAAAGACAAAAAGCAGCAGGCGACCAAATTCTAAGAGCTTATTATACTGAACTATCTTAAATTAAATCCCTGCATTTGTAAACTATAAATTCTGTTTCACATAATGTAGCAAACTACCAGTATTATATAATTATTTTTTAAATAAATATAAAAAACGAACATGCTCAAAGATTTTCTGTTTTAGATAAGTAAAAGTGGGTTTCGCATCAAAACACACAATATGGAAGAAGCCATTCTCCAAGGATACGACGAAACCAGACCAGGCCACTACATATTCTTACTGGCATAAAACAAAATTTTTCAAATATCTAATGACAACTATGTGGAAATATCAGGTCTGTTCATAAATTCATCCACAACTTATAAAATTCAATGAACATTCATTTATTCAAACAATTGTATATTAATTAACATTGCTTTTGTATTCGATAAATAAACGATATTTCTTTCCTTACAATGCGACCTGGATTGAAGAAAAAAAAAATAAAATATAAACAAATTTATGAACCAACTTGATTTCATTTTTCATACTTTCCAATGATTTTATTTAATACGTTGCAAGAAATAATTCCTTGTTAGAAAAATGTGTAAACGATAATAGTAAATCATAACTGACTATTTGCACTTTCAGTAGTAAATTTTAAACTTAAAATATCAACCTACAAATATCAACATATATTTGTATACACAGTATAAGTTGGACAAGCACCTGGTGAGATCCATTGGATAAATTCCAGGTAACCATCCTCAAAGCACTTGGGGGGATCCCCTTTGAGGAACAACGAAGCTGGATGAGCGAATACTGTAACCTGATTCAAGCTTCAATATATCGGTGAGACAATACTAATGCAACCATGAAATATTTTTATTTTTGTCAAATGAAACGTACTAATGCATTTGTGAGATTTTTCTTATTGAAACAAGATCTGGATTATATTTGCTTATTCTGTGTATAAGGGAACATCATCCCAATGCGAATTTTTTTTTAGTCCATATAATAAAAATTCTATCGTGTTTGGTTTTATTTTAATCAGTAAATCCTGACAATTACATTGGTAAAAGTTTCATTTAGCAAAAATAACAAATAAAAAAGTTGTATTGTCAAATTATTATTGTCTCATTCTTTTTATATTAATAAAAGAGCAGATATGTAATAATAGTATATCGTTATGAAACAAATGATAACATATCTTTAAAATCTCACTTGAAAATTATATCCACTGAAATTATTTTAAAGAAGAAAATGTAATTTTGAATATAATGGTCTCATATTTTTGTATTGGTAATTCATATACAAAAGAGCAAACAATAATGAATAAATAACAAAATAATTCCAAAAAGTTTACTAACAAATGTTACTTATTTAACAACAACAAAAGTAAACATGTGTCTACACAAAATATGAATTAACCAAATTCAATTGAAATAATATCACTTTACAATTGTAACATTAAATTGTTCCATATACGTAACAGATATCTTTGTAGTAATTTAAGATAATAATTTCCAGCTGTGAATTGCTAGTAAAAGATCTGGGTTACATTGTATTTACACTTTCAGTATGGAGGAATAGATAGCCTTGAATTATACGCGGTTCAAAATGGATAAGTGAAACGTTTCTCAGGATATTACAGCACGAACAATTAATTAGTACCATTTAGAGACATGTACGTAACAGAATAGATGCGTCGGAAAATAGAAACAAAATAAGTATACGTATTCATCATCAAAAAACAGAGATATCTAAAAAATGAATTAAAATGTCAGTAAATTACTGTTCACTGCTAGGTTATCCCTAAACTGCAAGTATTTATGTAAAAATATTTTTTCACATTTTCTTCTAAATATTATGATGCAAATTATACACATTTTATATTGTTTAAACATCTTGTTTACATCAGTATATCTAATACACATTTGTAAGTTGTTAAAAAATTAATGTTTTCGAAATATGAAAGACTTAACACGATTTAGTGAAGTAAAATTATCCTAGAATACCGCTTATGCTAGATCAATTTGAAGTTTAACCCTCGGACGACGGACCAGGGAGAAAGCCCCATTTTAATTTAATTTTGTATTTCATATTATTTTCATTTTCTAAGTTTGACACTGTACTTTCAAAATTAAGTATTTAAGTTTAGATTTAGTTAATATGTTTTGTAAATTTGGGTCCCGATTAATCCAGACTCTCCTGTTTGAAAGTTAAAGTTTGATGAAAATATTTACACAAATTTGGCGTTACTGTGACTGTTACAAAATGTCTGGTTATTAGTTGCAGCGAATAGTAAACAACATGAAATTCGTCTACTGTTACTTTAGAGATTTTAATCGGTATACTTTGCAACGAAGGCTACCGATAATTTAATATATCGGATAGAAGAAGTTCAGCTAACAAATGCACAATATTACATTAATTTGACAAATATCCATCACAAGATATGAACCCTTTAAAATGAACCGTATGGACAAATCAAATAAGCAAGCATGATGAAATTTGAGGTCGTTACAAAATTTGCAACAGTTATAACTTATGTAAGTGGTATTTTGCTACAATGTTATACTTCAAAAAATGACAATTTCTTCTCAAACCGATAGTTTATGTACTATACTATATTTCAGTCTAATTGTAACGTATACATGTGTACATATATTAGGATAAAATTTAATTTAATATCACACAAAACAAGTATGTAATATTGTTGATTATCGATATTCTATCAGTACTTAACGATACATCAACGTCATTAAAACATCGTTAATCCTGCAAATGTAGGTAAACTTTTTTTATACTTCGTCGGCAAAATAGGTCGTTTGACATTTTACAGTTTTCGGAATTTACAAAATCTAAAAGAAAATTGGCATAGTTGTCGAAATTGCAACTGTATTATACAATCGTTCGTTACATCAAGATTGTAAAACTTTTAGGTTTATAAAAACGCAAATTCGAGAGAAAGGCTTTCATTCGTGCCGTTAACGACCCAGATTACTTACAAAAGGTCAAGACTAATGTAAGTGACTGAAGTGGAACATAACCGTCAATGTAACTAGGATTTTTTCTGAAATGGGCCAGTGTCCGTTGCTCAAGATTTTGCACTTTCCATAGAATTTTACGAGAAAAACTTAGAATTTTGAAATTATGGTGTTTCAGAATTTTAGAACCTTTAAATTTTTTAATTATAGAACTTCAGAACTTTGAAATTTGGAAATTTTAAAACCTTAAAATCTTTCAATTTTAGAATTCTACAATTTCGGAATTTTGAAATCTAGTAATTTTGAAACTTTAGAACCTTGAAATCTTTCAATTTCGGAACTTTATAATTTAAGAATCTTAAAATCTCACAATTTAAGGATTATAGAACACGAAAATTTTACAATTATGGAATTCCAAAACCTTAAAATTTCAGTTTTTCAAATTTTAGAACTGCAGAATGTTAGAATTTAAGAATTCTGAGAGAATCCGTTTAAATTAGGGGGTGGGGGGATTCGCCCCTGGTCCTACCTAGTTACACGATTAAATATAACGGTTAAATTAACTTGAAACCTAATTTAACTTAATTTTATTATTCAAATATACTTTTTTTTGTTTGATTTTCATATTAAAATACATAGATTTGAATAACAAAATTGCGAGTTATATTTTCCTTCAGTTGTTCCCATTCTATTTAACGATATCTAAACAATATTATCGATGAATCGACAACGTCATCCCTAGCAGCTCGTGCACCTCGATACATAATAAAAATAGTTTTTGCTACAACATGTTGAAGAAACAGGATAAAGTTATCTGAAAATTATATCTTCCCGGTGGTTAGAGAAAATTAAAGCGTAATGAGCTAAATGAGGCGTAAGCAGTGAAATGTTGTACAGCAAAAACGCACTGGCACGTGTATGTTTCAAAAACACGTGGTTCGCCGGCGCATGAAACAAGTTCACGACCACCTTTCTTTACACGATCCACGAAAGATACATTCCAATGAGCACTGTTAATCGTAACACGTTTCAATTATTGAAGAATGTGCACTTTGAGCACCAGTTAACACGGCAAAATCAATCTTCATTCTCGCAGAAAACTTCGCGAACTTTATATTGAAAATGGAACGAGATTCGTGTCATTGCACTTGCGTCGTAAACTAAACGTATTAATGAAAAGCACTTTAGGTTAGAGGCAAAGCGTGTTACGAGAATATCGGCCGTGCGTCGGCAATAATAAAAATGATTAATAGCACAATAATACGAGAGTACTTAAGCGTCCACTTAATAAAGGAGAGCAACGTTCATTGGTTCAAAATAAAGTAGGTCGCACGAAAGATACCAGGTGCGTATACAAGAAAGACAGCAGGAACACGTGTCACGTGAAACGCACGCTTTGTTGAAATTCGCGATTCCTTGGTTAGCAAAATCCACAAATACAACGAACAAGTAATTTTCTGAATAAATATTAATTGAGAAAAGAAAGAAAGTGGCGGTTATAACGAGAAGTCGAGCTGCTTGGATGGCGTGCGTCTACCAAACGAACGGAGACAACAAAAGTGAAAAAAGGGAAAGAGCAAGGAAGAAAAAAGAGAATGTAAGGTATTCCCTTTGTATGACGCTTACCTCGTGTGGCCGGGGATGCTGATGGTTGCAGTGGCGATGCTCGAACATTCCACACACAAAATCAACACCACACAACACCACGATCACAATGAACAACGACATAACGGTGACGCATTGCATCTTCAACCGCACTCGAGCCGCCATCACGGCCGACGTTCTAGCTCGCAGAACACGACACATACTGAGCGCGCGTGACGGCGACGCCGCGCATTTATATAAGCGTCACGGCCATGACATCCAGCGCCACACCACTCACGTTCGATACTTCGAGCGCGGCAGACGCTCTCTGTTGTCGCCGCGATAACTCCCTTGGGAGTAACCTGCAAAGAAACCGAAGGGTTACTATTACAAATAAAATCGAACTCTATATTTTATACATTGCTTTTTAACATACAATAAACTAATTTTCTCAAGCTTTTCATTGTAGGCAATATATTATTATTTTAAGGTGTGAAATATACTGGCAAAGTTTGTATGTAAGTTTGTAGAACGCCCTATATGCAGGGTGTTCACTAATGCTACGCATGAGTTATCTGTGTTACGTGTAAAACACAATGTCGATAATGAACGTTTCGAAAATACCTTCGAGGGGCGCGCGCAACATTCGAAGCACTACTGTTGGTAAAATTTTGCTCAATTATACAGAAACATCAAAAGTAATGACTGTGCAAAATTATAGCGCACCCCTATGTATCTAAAATCAGGAAGTTTATATTCAGAATTTTTGTAATATACAAGGTACTATAGCTTTAAAACGGTTAAAGATGGAATAGAATTTTATTAGATAAAAGTGATTAATATTAAATAGAGTATCATATGATGCGGGCAAAGGCTTTTGAAAAATTTCAAACTAACAGTTCACAAGGTATTCCAAATTAAGATATTTTTTTGTTCAACGATTTGTAATATCTCACAAATTATCTTTTTTTTACATTGTATTTTAATAATTTTTTTATGTAAAATAAAGAATGCAACATCATATTTTTAAAAAAGAAAATATTTGCATTTTTGTTACGGAACTGAATTTTTCACATATGTCATTTCTTTGTAAATTTTCTACGTAAAAAAGTATGACGGTACAATATCAAATATATCAACAATTTGTGAGATATTTCAAATTTTTTCATTAAACATTTCACTTTTAACTTATTGCACTCTAGGTGCTATAGCTTGGTCCAATTACATGGAATAATTTGAACACATATTTAACTGATTGAATTGTATAAAATAAATCATAATAAAATGGTAAAAAAATGTTATATTTACTAAATCAATTGTTATGGATCGAGACTCTCCTAGTTACGTCCTATTTTTTCATTGTAGCAGACGGAACCGTTGACGAGAATTTCAACATAACGAAATTTTATAGCATTGAAATTTGAGACGCAATCACTTCACCGCACACACGATAAAATAATTTAAAAAAAAAGAGACAACCGACTTCGAAAGTGTAAAATAACTTATACATACTTCATTTCTACAACAAAATGCATTAAAAAGTATGAAATAATTTCTATTTCCTAATGAAATAACTTCTATTTCATTTATACAAATACCCAACAGTTATTAACAAAACCTTTTTATTCGTTAAATAGTACCCTAAATACATTTCAACCTTTTCGGAGGCGACACAAAATTAGATCTTTTCTTCTACTAGAATGTAGACGCGTAGCCGAAAGACAGATTATTCCAACGGTTTCTGCAATAATTGTAAACGCGTAGTCGCGAGACAATCTATCAGGCGATTCCATTTCGTGATCTTTCGAGAATAATAAACGCGTAGTCGCGTGACAATGTAACATGCGATTCCAACGGTTTTTGCAAGACGTTTAGTGATCATTCGAGAGCAGAAAAAAAAAAATACATACTGATCGAATTGAGTAACCTCCTCCTTTTCGAAGTCGGTTAAAAAAGAAGATCGCCATAACGTGGAGGGACAACCATTTTATAAAACCGTGACGGCACGCGGGCGTCAGTCCTCCTCGTTCATTGCAAGACACATTAAATTTCAATAAACCATTTTTTATACGAAGTAACCAGACTCTTTTGATTTCCCGCGACCCAGTCTTGGCCTCCTACAAGAACGATCCTAGTTCAAGCGTCGGCAACCTATGACAAATGGATTAACTACATGTACATCAGAAGCTGCCATCTTCTGATACAATCGTTACAATTATAAATGTTCTCAGCCGTACCTATAACGTTCCGTATTTTTTCTTATGACTTGTTAATTACCAAGTTCTCCATACCGCAATCGAATCGTTATTGGCAGCATCGTTTATTTGGGTATTTTTAATTTTGCGTCGCCTCCGAAAAGGTTGAAATGTATTTAGTATACTATTTAATGAGTAAATAGGTTTTAATAATAGCTGTTGGGTATTTGTATAAATGAAATAGAAATTTTCATACTTTTTAGTGCATTTTGTTGTAGAAATGAAGTATAAGTTATTTTACACCTTTTAGCGCATTTTGAAGTTGGTTGTATTTTTTGTTAAAAATTATTTTATTTCACACTTTTTAATGGATCAATCAGTATTTGTAGGATGCCGTAAGATGATTTACCGTTCTTATTGGTTAATTGCAATACCGATAGTTATTAACGATAACAAGTTCCATACATTTTTGCAAGTGGGATCATCGTGGAAACATCTCCTAGTAGCTTTCATCGCGATCGGTATATGCCTTGCAGAGTAACACCAAGGAATAAGGTATTTTGCTATAACAATAGTCAGTAACAATAAGAAGTTATATAAATTTTTGCAAATGGGATCATCGTGGAAAGATCTACGAGATGTGAAAGGTTTCATCGCGATCGGTGCGTTCCTTGCAGAGTAACGCTAAAGAATAGGATTTTGCAATAACAATAGTTATTATACATATGTATATGTATGTATGTATACTGATTTTCGGTCGACGCGCGACGCGACATGTGTACAGAAACAGTAGAGAATCGGCGACTGCATGCTGACCCATACACTGCCAGAGACACGTAGGCATACGTAGAATTCAATGTAGTAGGAACAATAGTTTTTCACGAATATCTCGGAAACTAAATGATAAAATTGTTCAAAATCATGGGCCCGACAACATATTAAAGGGTCATTGAAATCATCCGATGCTGAGATTAGAAACTTCTTGTTTTTTGCAATAATAATCCTTAGCAATGAAAAAATGAAAAATTTTTGTTTAACAGGACCAATACATACTCTACAAGATGCAAAAGATTTTGTTCCGATTGGTCCATCCATCTCGGAGTGATCGGTGAACACACATAGAAAAAAAATATATATAACTGATCGAATTGAGTAACCTCCTAACCAGCTGCGTTGCAAGTCTCATTGTCAGCCGCGCAGTTAAAACGCATTTTGAAATTTTGCGTGCTTTTATTTATGAGCCTTTTCTAAGAACCTCCCAGACGACACATAAAACAAGTAAGAACAAATTGTTTGCATGGAGAATAGCCGTAAAAATAATTTCAATTTAACTTGTTTTATTTAATTATTATTCTCAGTTTTTCAATGTACAGGTACAGAAGTAATACGTGTTAAAAAGAAATAAAATGTTGAGTGCCATGTACAAAGTACGTACTTATGTTTTTTTTATAACTATATTTTATACGTATGTACATACATATTTTATTAAGTATTTAACATCCCCCCATAGCATATTTTTTTCTCTTACAATTAAATAGAAATGCAAGATATCTGAGTGTAAGTTTATAAATGTCTATGTATAAAGGCTATCGATGCTGACCCCATTCGATATTAGTACTTCTCGATACCTCCTTAGTATCGATATAGGAATACTTGATATCGAAATAAAAGTATCGAGCATTCGCTCGTATTTACTTGTATCGATTAATTCTTATTTCTGCGCGTGTCCTTTAGTTCGATCTAAAGAAACTTGAGATAACCTTCGGTTTATTAGGGGTAAAAGATGTCGTGTCTCTGTTGCGTAGAAGGCTGTGTAAACAGCTTTATTTCATTTTATTTGTATAACTCTGTAAATACACATACATTATTTATTTGTAAAAATACGAAACAAAATTCATAACAATTATACTGAATCAAAGAAGTCAGAATACCGCAAGAATAAGCTTTTTGTGGGTAAAGGATTTTCGGAAATTTCAAAATCAACTATTTGTTTAAATAGAGCCAGGGGCGTCATATTAACCTTTTCCTAAGCACTGGGCCATGCCACCCCTTCCTTCTTTTTATTGAATAAAATATGTATACCTAATGATAATAATGATAGTAATACAAGGCTAAATTTCAACGCGATTTTCTAGAACTAATTTAACGAGAATTAAAAGTTTAACATACGTGGCGTTTCGCATTTATATTCAGGTATATTTCAATTAATAATCAGAATTTTCATAAGAATTTTTATTATTGATAGTTTATAGAGTAGATGTAGAGGAGACGCAAGCCTCCCTAGTGCATTTATGATGTCTGTTTCCTTTATTCAAAATTAAAAATTCATAGGTAAAGCAAGCAATAAAATTTTGTAGTAGCTATCTGTGATACTCCCGAAAACGGACAAAGAGTCTATGTTGTGTAAGAATGGGCGAATAACGGTTTCACAGGATGCAGAGAATTACGCACAAACGCAAATGAAACAATTGAGAATTTATTGAACGAACTAAACTGACGGTCCCAAAAATGTCCTCTAATGTCACGACCCTCGAAGGACGATCCCACGCTTAGGACCCCCAAAGGTGACGACAGGCGACGTTGTCCAGCAGCCTGTATATTGCGTTTTCTTACAGTTGACAAAAGATGTAATTTTGTAGCGTGGTACAGAGAATTATATCGGTGGCGCAGGTAAACAGACATCTATGGAGCAGGGGCTCCTATTTTCAACTACAGTGAAAACTGGATAAATGTTTTCATAAGTCTATTTCATAAATGATACATTTTAATCCCTATCACTAGGGGGATCCTCCTTCAACCAGTGAAGCGAAGTGTAGAGACGTAGTGGCTTTCTTTAAGAAACCAAAATAGGTATTAATGGCAGCTTTAAAAAATTTACTCGTATTCTCGCAAGTCAGCGGTAGTACATACATTTATCGAATAGGGATAGCTAACGAAACCTCCTATCTCATAAGCGTTTCAGTTTCTGATCGTTTACGAAACAGTGGAAGCGTCCTGTTTGAGAATTAACTATCTCCTATTCGATAAATGTATTCAGCACCTCGAATCCGTCGTACTTTGTGTAGAAAAGATGTTTTATTATAAAACTGCAAATGGTATATGTATCTGTTCTGTCCTTCAGCCAGCGATTGACTTTCGGCTCTTAATTGATCTCGCCCTTATCGATC